TGGCACTTGCCGGTCAGCCCGAATTTCCCGATGGCTGCCCGCATCTTCTCCTCCTCCAATCCGGGGTATTCGGACATCATCCATGCGAGTGCGCTCTTCTCCAGGTCTAGTTTCTCGCCCAAGTGCTGTGAGGAGCAGGTAGCAGGGGAAGGACGAAAGGAGGAGGAAAGATTAGCACAAGACATACTCTAGTAACCCTTGCAAGTGACGCTGTAAGTGCAGGTGCAGCAGGCGGAGCAGAACGGGGAAGGGCCACAAAGCGGGGGTGGTAATGATCAGGCTGAACTACAAAGAGAGTGTGTGCATGTGTGTGCGAGTGTGAATGTGGGGGTGTGTGTGCATGTGAGGATGTGAGTGTGTGTGCGGATGTGTGTCAGGGTGTGTGAGTGTGAGTGTATGGGTCGGTGTCAATGTGTGTATGTGCGCGTTGGCGTGACTATGCATGTGCGGGACTCTCTGGGTGTGTGTGGAAGTGCGTGTGTGTGGAAGTGCGAGTGTGTGGGACTGTTCGGGTGTGTGTAGGTGTGAAGTGGGCATGGTACTTTCACAGTGCTGGCGCTGCCATTTCGAAATTTCATTGTCCAGACCGATATTACCTCAGTGGAGGATATGAACAGTGTTTAGAAACACCAATCCACCCAAACCCACACCCACATCCGCACACATCACACCCACACACCCAAACCCATCCATACCCACACACCCATCCACATCCATGCCCACCCACCTGGTGGTACTGCCCAATACGCAGGTGGTTGTGCGCTTCACCACGCCCTCCGTGCACTGCAGTGTGTGCACACACAGAGCCAAACCACACTCCCACACCCACACACACCCATCCACACTCATCCGCACACCCACCTGGTGGTACTGCCCGATCCGCAGGTGGTTATGGCGCTTCACTGCACCCTCCGTGCACTGCAGCTCGCCCGTCATCAGCTTCAGGAGCGTCGACTTTCCCGCCCCGTTCGGCCCCACCAGCGCAATCCGCGAGTCCAGATCCACGCCGAAGTCCACCTTCTCGTAAATCACATGCTCCGGGTCGTACGCAAACGAAACTTCCGAAAACTGCAGCACCGGCGGAGGAAGCTTCCCGACATCTGTAAACCTAAACGTCAGCACGTTATCCCTCGCCACCTTCTCCGTCAGCCCGCCGCGCTCCATCTTCGCTAGGGTTTTCTCCTTGCTCTGCGCCTGCCGAGCCAGCTTCGCAGAACCGTGCCCGAACCTAGCGATATACTCCTTCATGTTAGAGATCTGTTCCTGCTCCCACTTCCACTGCTTCATCTGATTCTCCTCCAGCTCCTTGCGCGTCTGCACGTACGAGTCGTAGTTGCCGGTGTAGAACTTGAGCTTCTTGTTCTGCATGTGGATGATGTTGGTGCACACGCCGTTCAGGAAGTCCTGCGAGTGTGACACCACCACCAGAATGCGGTCGAAGTTCTTGAGCGTGTCCTCCAGCCACACGCAGGCTTCCAGATCTGCGTTTAGGGAGCACGAGGCGGGGAGGGGCAGGGAGAGGGGAGCAGGAAGAGAAGGGAGGGGCAACGGGTGAGTCAGACGAGAAAGTCCTGCGAGTGCGACACCACCACCAGGATGCGGTCGAAGGTCTTCAGTGTATCTTCCAGCCACACGCACACCTCCAGATCTGCGCGTGGAGAATGGGGGTGGCACACGGAAAAGGAGGGGCGCGGGGGATGGGTGAGTGAGACGACCACTCCGTCAGCACTCCCGTAGTTCCCCGTGTGCGGTTGTGGTTCTTCAGCGTGTCCTTACAGTCACACGCACGCAGCCACACGAGCGAAGGCGAAGTAGGATGAGTATCAAGAAGTGAGATGAGCAAGGCCGAAACAAAGCGAGCCGGTGAGGGGTTGGGGGGGAGGGTTTGGGGGGGAAAAAGAACGCTTACGCGCGACCACACGTGCGGCTCACGTAGAAAATTGTGCTCTCGAGGACTAGTGAGATTAATCGGCACAGCTACCAGTATACTTCCCGGGCGTCCTTCCTCAGTACTCTCTCTGTAGCTCGAAACTATATTGTTGACACGCTCGAGTTGAAACGGTTGACATGTTTTCCACACCCAGATGGTTCGCCGGCATGCTGTATCAAACAACCGCCACGGCTTCCGTATTGCTTCGCCAGTCCGCAGCCTAACACTACTTGGCATGGTTTCCACACCTACACGATTCGTCTTCCTGTCGTACGTAGCTAGTCGGATCGTTGACCCGCCGTACGTACCTACCTGGTTCAGCAGCTCGCCGTACGCACCTAGATGGTTGGTGGGTTCGTCCAGCAGCAGCACGGTGGGCTGCACGAACAGCGCGCGAGCGTTGACTTTTGAGCCGACTCAAAAGTCACCCCGCCGTAAGTACCTACCAGGTTCGACAACCCGCCGTACGCACCTAGATGGTTGGTGGGTTCGTCCAGCAGCAGCACGGTGGGTTGCATGAACAGCGCGCGCGCGAGCGCGATGCGCATGCGCCAACCGCCGGAGAAGTCGCGCGTCCTCTTCTGCTGCATCTGCTTCGTGAAGCCCAGCCCGTGCAGGATCTGCGCCGCGCGCACCTCCGCCGTCGCCGAGTCCATGGCGTCCAGCCGCTCGTAGATTCGCTCCAGCTGATCCGCTGCGCCCTCCTGAAATAGGGAAGAAAATGAGGGGAGGAAGAACGGGAAGGTGAGTCAGGAGCTTGAAACCCCTCGATTTCGGGCAGAAGTTACGCATGCACAAACCCCGACCGCCTTCTCATGCTTGAACCGATCTTCAACGACGCCCGACTTCAGCGGGTTACCACGTAACCGAACCCACCACCCACTTCCCTGTCACAACCACGTACAACTTCTGCGAGCTCCTCCGCCTCCTTCTCGAGCTTCAAACGCTCCCGACGCAGATGATGGCTTCGCAAGTTACCAGGTAACCCAATCCGCCAGCTCATTCACCTCCCCTTTTTCTACCCACACTTACAACTTCCGCGAGCTCCTCCGCCTCCTTCTCGAGCTTGAGGCGCTCCGCGTCGACGCAGATGACGGCCTCGCGAGTTGCAAAATAACCAGCTCAACCAGCTCATTCCCCTCCCCTTTTTTAACCACACGTACCACTTCTGCAAGCTCTTCCGCCTCCTTCTCAAGCTTCAAGCGCTCCGCGTCGACGCAGATGACGGCCTGCAGAGCGGAGATGTCGGTGGCCTCGATCTCGTGCGACAGGAAGTAGACGCCCTCGCGGGTTACCAGGTAACCTCACCCACCTCCCCCTTTTTATCCACTTACAACTTCCGCGAGCTCTTCCGCCTCCTTCTCAAGCTTCAAGCGCTCCGCGTCGACGCAGATGACGGCCTGCAGCGCGGACATGTCGGTGGCCTCGATCTCGTGCGAGAGGAAGTAGATGTCCATGTGGTCCTGCACCGGCACCTCGCGGTTCCCGATCGCCTTCAGCAGCGTGGACTTGCCGCACCCGTTCAGCCCCAGCAGACCGTACCGCCTGCGCGCCGGAGAGGAAAAGCGGGAAAAGCCGTGCAAGATGAGGCAAGAGATTAGGCAAGGAAAAGAAGGGGGTAGTTGACAAAAAGTGACTGCTTGGTGAACTACGAAGGGGATGTGTCAAATTTGACGGGTGATGGGGATGTGGATGAACGAGGGAAGACAGTGATGATGAATTTGGCGGGCGGCTTACCTTCCATAATTGAGCTCGAGAGTTGTGTCTGCGACAAGCTCGTGCCCGTGGAAGTTGAGCGAGAATCCGACGACCTGTACAGGCAGGTTACGAGGTTGAGACAACGACGAGTGCGTGCGTACGCACGCTTATCGGTAAAGGACGGATAAAACAAACAAACCAACCAAGGAAAGGAAGTGAATGGTTGCCACTCACATGTATATCTCGTGAGAGAGCGTGCGAGGCGAGAACTCCGGTGCAACTTCTGTCGTGATCGTCGAGGGACTTGAGATCCTTCTCCGAGTTGCTCGCACTGACGCTCTTGGCCGCTTTCTTCGCGGCCGCAGCGGCTTTTTTCGCCGCAGCCCTCTCCTTCTTGGCGTCAGTCGGCGCCATGCTGAGTTCTCTCCCTTGAAACACACGAAGTTATCTCGCTTATAGACAAGCGTAACGAAGCAGCTCTCAGATGATTATACGAATTTTAAGGCAGGGATCTGTTGCACTGGCCGAAGCGACTCCAACTCACAGAAGGTATGGATTAGAGATCAAAGATCCAAGATCGGGAGATCGGAGAGAGGGAAAGAATTGATAGTCTGCTGAGGCTGTATATACCAGTCTGCTGCTTGCTGGTAGTTTTTTTTCCAAGAGAGTGAGATGAGAAAGCTTCGCCTGTGTACGGCTGTGGGTGAGCAAGAGGGTGGTTCGTTTGAGAAATGCGGGTCAAACAAACTCCCTGGAGCTGGTCAAGCGGTGGTGCATTGGGAGTTGTTTTCACCAAATCCAGTGTGATGGATCCACCAATAGCGTGCATCCTGGAGGTTGACTTGTGGTGGTTTCGGGCCTGCCGAGTGGGTTCGGGCAGCTGGCTGCCCCGCAGAAGCTCGGGGGCTGCTGCAACGCGCCGCCAAAACATTCTTGTTGTGGAGAGTCTCTTCCTGGAATGTGGGCTGTAAAGGGCCTGAAACGAATCCACGTGTAAGGCGCCGATACCCTTTTTGGCGGGGCTGTCGCATGCTGGTGACATGGCAAAAGATGCTCGTAAAATTTGACACATAAGGCGGTAATGCGGAATTCGACTTCGACCGCTTTACTGTCAGCTCCATCAAATGTCTCAATAGCGAGTATGTATTGGTGGCTTACCACTCCCATAATATGGATTTCTTTAGGCGGTGTAGCTACTGAATAATAATCAACATTTGCGACAATACTGTTTGCCCTCCCCTTCCTCCCATTCCCCCTCTTCCTTCCCTCTTTGTCCCAGACCTGCCATCTCTCCCTCCCTCTTTTCGCTCGCCTTCTTTCCCGCGATCAACTAGCCCTAATATCGCGTGCCTTAGTATCCTAATCCGCAGCCATGGCCAGCGAGCTCGCCTGCACATACGCTGCCCTTATCCTCCACGATGATGGCATTCCCATCACGGTGAGCACTTCTGATTTTCGTGTCGATGCTGCCCTTCTCACCAGGTTCCCCGCAAGCGACGTTTTAAAACGATCTCCTAGTAGAATTTGTTCACGCGTGCTTTTTCGTTGGTCACAGGCGAGGAACGCCTGTCAGGAGGGTGTCATGTTGTGTTTTCAGCTTGAGGAATTGCCAATGTTGTTAACTTTGCGGCTTCTGACGGTTGCTTAGTTCGGCGATGCGTACAATCAGTCATTACGAGTATTGTAGATTTCCTCGCGCATTAAAGATCGTGGACGAACGCTGCAGTAATCGGCGGGACAGGTCTGTCTCATTAGGTTAACTCTAATGATAGTCGTTAGGGTCTTCAGCATCTGCTGGATTCTTAGCTCTTCAGTCTGACGGAACGATGTGTGCTCACTAAGTCGAGCGCGAGTCTGGTAGTAGTCAGGGCTTGGGGGGTTTGGTCCTTTCATGGGGGGATTTATGTTTGACTAGCCCTCTGTTCATGTTGTTAGTGAAATGCCGATCCCGTTTTTTATTCCCACATGGCAGTCCGACAAGATCGCGACGCTGGTGAAGGCCGCGAATGTGAACGTGGAGGCATACTGGCCCACTCTCTTCGCCAAGCTGCTCGAGAAGCGCAGCGTGGAGGACCTCGTCTCAAACATTGGTTCAGGTACGGTGCAGTTGGTTAGTTGCGGTACGGGGCAGTCTGGTTACATGCGGTGCGATCGTATCAGGCGGTGCGTAGCTTGCAATTTGGGTAGACTGTGGGATGGTGCGTCAGGTATCTGTAGTTGCTGACGGCGGTGAATCTGCAGTCGTATGGCTCACAATCAATTGCACTTTAAAGCCCCCTCTCCCCAAGAGATCTTAGAACCGTACAGCTCAGAAGCATCTGCTGCCGTAGCTGAGAACTGAGATGCTTTGGATATCTTCTGGAGGCTGTATGGAACATGCTGGTAGGAGGAGCATTGGCGAAGGCCTTTCAGCAAACCTAACGCATTCGCTTATGACGTCCGTTAGCTGGGGAGAGAAAGCTGTGATTGTTGAATTCACTGTCTCGTTACCCTGTCGTCAGCTGGTCTACTCATTTACTCATCGTTCTTTTCCTCGCCTGTTCTCCCTCCTATCCAGGTGGCGGCGGTGCCGTTGCCGCTCCTGCTGCTGCGGGCGGTGCTGCCGCACCAGCAGCTGAGGAGAAGAAGGAGGAGAAGAAGGAGGTGAGCTTTGTGATTCTGGTTAATCGCGTTTTAGTACCCTCGGAAAATTGTGTTTTGTTGTGTTGGCCTCAAGATGTTGTTGGACTGATGTTTCATATTCGCTTATTATGATCTCTCTCTGCCACACCCACCTTCCCTGAACGCCTTTTGAATGCAACAGGAGGAGAAGGAGGAGAGCGATGACGACATGGGCTTCAGCTTGTTCGACTGAGCAACAAATACCATGGCTCCTCAGATCCCAGCCTTCACCTCCATTTTGACAGCCGTGATGCTTTCTAGGGCCGCTCAGCCTCCCTGTGTCTTAGCAAGGTCTTCCACCATGTATCACATGCTATCAAATGATGGGTCTTGTTGCTGCTGGCGCTGGTCTGCCTACAGTGTTGTGCAATGGTAGAATTATATTAACTTTCACTGTTTCTAGGGGAGAACGAGGGCAAACCGTGCAGAGTATTAACTTCCTGTCAATGCATACAGGAGTAGGGTGTACCTAAGTTTTTTTCAGCTTCCCTCAGGTTTTTCCCTTCATTGAAAGCTGTCACTTCGGTTTTCTCGTCCGCAGGCAGATGAAACCAAGGTGGCTGACAGAAATGAGTCGCACACGCATGTCACGCACTCGGACACCTGAAACAGGTCGCCCGCAACTGGTATATGTTCGCATCTCGTCGCAACGCAACTGTATATTCGCACACCGCATGCCCATCACGCATCCGCAAAAGTGCAAGCAAGCAAATGCTCCTGTTTGCCTCTTCACCCACCTCTTCACTGCCGTCTTACTTCTATCCTATTTAGCATACCCGTTCGCCTAAGCTCCTCGCTGCTGCCGTTTCAGCTTAGCGCTTATCGCAACGGTACCGCCGCAGCCTAAGTCGATGCAGGGTGAAATGAGCTGAGCGAACAGGTCAGTGCGGCTGGTTCATGTTGCCGTAGAAACGATGTTCGTCGTGATACTGTTGGTGCCTTGAGCCGTGGAAACGATGCTTGCCTTTTTAATACTTTTATGATATGGCTCTCGACGAATTCTCCAATGCCAAGGCAGCATCCGCGAGCTCGAGCTTTAGGTTAGAATGGACGGTCACCCTGGCATTCCTAAGACCTAAGTAGACTCCTAGTCGACAAGTCAGTTCCACCCAGGCTTTCCGGAGAGTTGTTGACTTGTTTGTTTGCCATTAGTGCCTGGTTACGTGGTCGCGCTTGATTTGTAATGGTTATTCTGTGACACGGTTAGCAGCCGAATGCAGCAGAGGAGATACCCTATGTGAAGGTTACACGTTTACGCCTCGCGATTACAAACGCAACGGCTTGTGAAGCAGGGTGCTGCGTGCATGAAGAGTGATATCGGTCACTTGTTAGCATCGTGAGGCAGCTCCTACATTGACTTGGGCTGCTCCGTGCGACTGATTGAGACTGAGGCGACTGATTGCGACTGAGGCGACTGATTCCGACTGAGGCGACTGACCGCGACTAAAGAAAAGCTTTTTGGATTCTTTCACGTCACAAGCAATAGGCGAGCTAGCTGTCTGCGTTGACCGAAAGCTTGGACTTCTAAGGACCTACGCTCTATCCCAATTCGCGTCGTATCCCGCGTCGCTCTTGATTAAGCACGATGTCTCGCCAACCGTCGCCAATGCGGGCTCCGCGCACGAGAATCTTGAACGAAAAATACGTGAGTGGCGCTATCTGCTCCTAGATTATCCTCCTTCGCTTGCAAAGTTATAGTTTTTTTCTCTGTTGTTGAAGGGATACATCTGCCTGGCACTGCAGGACAAGTATTCAATTCATTTGCGTGTTCGCCACCATTTTCGCCGACTTTTTTTGTTTTCACTTGTCGTGATAAAAATTACCGTGATAAAAATTGCCGTCCTTTTCACATGCGGTGTTCGCGCACATGTCCGTGTGCGTGTGCATGTTGATGCGGGTGTGTGGGTGTGTGCCTGCATGTGTGTGTGCGTGCGTGCGTGTGCGAGCAGCTGCTGGGGGAGGAGCTGGGGAAGGGCGCGAACGGGCGCGTGTTCAAGGCGCTGGACCTGCAGAACGGCGACTTCGTGGCCGTCAAGGAGGTGTCCCTCGAGAACATCGACCAGGACGACCTCGCGTCCGTAATGGTGGGTGGGGTACTGTCTGTATTGGGACAGAGGGTGGGCCGAAGACGGTGGGCTAGTGTGTGAGAACGTGTGGCCGTCAAGGAGGTGTCCCTTGAGAACATCGACCAGGACGACCTCGCATCCGTCATGGTGGGCTACTAGGGGTGGGCTGGGAGGGGTGCATGATGGTGCTCTGCGTTAATTGTGTCACTCTTCTTGCTCTCCCTGCTTTTCACCACCAATACTGATTTTTATTTTTCTTTCTTTCCCCTGCCTTTCCCACGTGTGGCCCTGTGCTCCTTACTCGCGGGACTGTGGTTTGTGGTGGCTGGTGTCCGCCACCGTCACATGGAACGCAATCTCCGCAGCAAGAAATCGATCTACTCAAGGTGGCTCTTCTGTGCTGTATTCTGCTGTACTATGCTGTGTTGTACAGTGCTATTCATGCTGTAACATGCTGCACATTCATTCTCTACTATTATGATGTGCCATGCCATGTGGTGTGGTCTCATGAAGTCCGGCACATAGCTTGATGTCTGAGAAACTAGATGTACTAACTGTTCCTCATTCGCCCTTATCCTTCGTCCCCTCCTCCAAACACACCCCCCTCTTCCCTACAGACGTTCAACCACAAGAACATAGTCAAGTACCTGGGCTGCATCAAGACCAAGATGCCGGTTTCTGAGTATTCAAACACCCCCGCTCTTATTGCTCTGTTATCCCCACCCTTCCTGCAAACGCCCCTCTACAGACGTTCAATCACAAGAACATAGTCAAGTACCTGGGTTCCATCAAGACCAAGACGCACCTCTTCATCCTCCTCGAGTACGCCTGCCTGCCTGCCTGCCTGCCTCCTGCTGTTGCTCTATGCTCGACACATCACTCATCCATCCAGCTTCTGTGCCGCCCGCCTCTTACTGTTTCCTGCTGCATGCTGTGCCCGTAGGTTGCGCGCTCTGTGTCATCTGCTCTCGTGCTCCCGCCCCACACTGCAACAAAATTACCTTCTCACCCCATTACCTCTCCCCCCATCCTCTCACCGCATCCTCTCGCCCCATCCTCTCGCCCCATCCTCTCGCCCCATCGTCTCGCCCCATCCTCTCGCCCCATCCTCTCGCCCCAACCTCTCGCCCCAACCCCTCGATCCGTTGTATCCCCATATCCACGCGTAGGTTTGTGGAGAACGGGTCCTTGGCAGGCATTATCAAGCCGAATAGTTTTTTGAGACGTCTCAAAAGTCCCCAACCTCTCGATCCGTTGTATCCCCAATGTCCCATGTCCACGCATAGGTTTGTGGAGAACGGGTCCTTGGCAGGCATCATCAAGCCGAATAGATTTGGGCCCTTTCCAGAGTGCCTTGTTGCTGTCTACACTGCTCAGGTGGGGAAGAGATCGACTCCTCTCTATCCATCTGTCATGACCGCACCGCACGTATGCATCCTGTGTGTCAACTCCCTCGTCAGCTTGCCTGTTTTCCATCCTTGTTCGCTCCTCCCTGTTCCTCCCTACTCCTCCCTACTCCTCCCTATTCCCTACTCCTCTTTGCTCCTACTCACTGCCCCTCATATTCCTCTCGTCGTCTCCATGGCAGGCTGCAAGTGGCACTGCGGCTAATGACCCCACTCACCACTCCGTCCTCATCCTTATCCCCGTCTCCCTTCCTCTCCCCCATCCCCATCCCCTGTGGCAGGTGCTGGAGGGGCTGATGTACCTGCACGAGCAGGGGATTATCCACTGCGACATCAAGGGCGCCAACATTCTCACCACCAAAGAGGTCAGTCACTCACAGTGCCTCCCTACTCGCTCCTCCTCCTCACCCATGTCCCCACTTCCCACCTCTGCCCTCCTTCTCCTGCACCCCCCGTTCTGCCTCCTCCACCTCTGCACCTCTGCCCCTACCTCCACCTCATTCACTGCGACTGCGACATCAAGGGCGCCAACATTCTCACCACCAAGGAGGTCAGTCACTCCATTGGCAGTGAGCCACTGCTGCTGCTCCATCTCTTCCTCCCCCACCCACCGCACCATCCTCCCTGGCCCCCCTCGACCCAACTTTTGAGTAAACGCAAAAGTCATCCAGCCGACAGCACAGCTTGCTGTTTCTCTCCGCAGCCTCACCTTCTCAACCCTCCCCCTTCCCCACTCCCCCCGCCCCCTCCCCCCCTTCCCGCTGCCTTCTCCCTCCCCCTCCCACCTGATCCCGCAGGGCCTGGTGAAGCTGGCGGATTTCGGGGTGGCGATGCGGGTGGAGGAGGCGGCGGCGTGCCACGGGGACGCGGAGAACCCCAACTGGACGGCATAGCTTGCTCTTATCTCTGCAGCCCCACCTCCTCACCCCTCTCGACCCCCTCCCCCTTTCACCTCTCCATCTTCCCCCCTCCCCTTCCTCCCTCTCGCCCTGCTTCCCTCCACCCCCCTTCCCCCTCCCCCTCTTCCCCCCCTCCAGGGCCTGGTGAAGCTAGCGGATTTCGGGGTGGCGATGCGAGTGGAGGAGGCGGCGGCGTGCCTCGGGGACGCGGAGAACCCAACTGGACAGCTTGACATGCTCCTTTTTCACCGCACCCGTCCCCACTCCCCCCTCCCCTTTCAACCCTCCTTCTTCCCCCTTCCCCCTACCTCCTCCCGCCCTGCCTGCCTTCTCCCCCACAGGGCCTGGTGAAGCTGGCGGACTTCGGGGTGGCGATGCGGGTGGAGGAGGCAGCGGCGTGCCACGGGGACGCGGAGAACCCCAACGTGGTAGGCACGCCGTACTGGATGGCGCTCGAGGTCATCGAGATGTCCGGCATCTCCCCCGCCTCCGGCATCTGGAGCATCAATAGTTGCCTCCCTCCTCCTCAACTCCCTCTCCTCCCCTTCCGTCCTCTGTCCTCTGCCGTCCCCACTCCCTCCTCCCTCCTTCCTCCCCTTTCCTCCCCCCACAAACCCCCAAACCCCCGCCACCCCGGCAGGGGCTGGTGAAGCTGGCGGATTTCGGGGTGGCGATGCGGGTGGAGGAGGCGGCGGCGTGCCACGGGGACGCGGAGAACCCCAACGTGGTAGGCACGCCGTACTGGATGGCGCCTGAGGTCATCGAGATGTCCGGCATCTCCCCTGCCTCCGACATCTGGAGCGTTGGCTGCACCGTCATCGAGCTCCTCACCACCAAGCCGCCCTACTTTGACCTCCAGCCCATGCCCGCGCTATTCCGCATTGTTCAGGTGCCATTTTGCTAACACACGATTTTTTTTATTTTATTTTTTTATTTTTTAATGACAGGCTACGTACTTTAGTGAGGAGAATCTTGAGCTGAGTTTTCCAACCCCTCTCACTCACCCTCAAGGGCGTCGTCACATTTTGAGACGTCTCAAAGCACGTCTTCACGTATTTTTTATTCTCCTTGCTGTGTCATCATGCACGCCACTTGTCTTGCAGGACGACATGCCGCCCATACCAGAGAATGTGTCAGCTGCCACGTCTGACTTTCTCCACCTCTGCTTCCGCAAGGTGCGGTACAGAGGGTTCCTGGGCTGTCCAATGCCGGGATGGTGGAGTGGGATGACGGGATGCTTCTGCAAGGGGCTGTCTTTCCGTGCCTTCCTCTCGCCAAGGGGCTCTTTCTCCATGCCCTTCTCTCGTCGCCACATCCCCTGCCTGCCCCTCTTTCCTTTTGAGTCGACTCAAAAGTCATCTGTCCAATGCTGGGATGGTGGGATGGGATGACGGGATGCTTTTGCAAGGGGCTTCGGCAAGGGGCTCTTTCTGCATGCCCTTCTCTCGCCATATCCCCTCCCTGCCACTCTTTCCTCTGCCTGCTCCCACCACCACTACAGGACACCAAGAGCCGCCCGGACGCCAAGACTCTCCTGCGGCACCCGTGGATCCGGCAGGCGAAGCGGGCGGTGTCGTCTGGCCTTGCTGCCATTCCCCGCCCTGTCAGCGCCGGCTCCTCCTCCTCCTCCACCCGCCCCCTGTACGTTCCCCTCCTCCTGCTGCTGCTTCTTCTTCTGCTGTTACTGCTGACATCTGTATACGCTAGCATTCTGTTGAACATCTGCCCTGCTGCTGTCGTCACTCCTCCTTCCTCTTGTCCACTCCCTTCCATCATTTCCCCCCCTCCAGCTATCCGGATGTGCCGGCTCAAGCGGGTGCAGGCAGGGGCAGCGATGAGGCAGCAGCCATAGACGATTCCATCGATGCCGCGAGGCGTGTGCACGCCACCTCCCACGCCTCCTCCACCTCCTCCTCGCCACCTGTCACCCTCTCTGCCTCCTCTCCGGACAGCGAGCGCCGCGACCGGAAAATCCACCTGCAAGCGGTGAGTCATATGTCTGAACAGACTCAGAATTTACCTCCGTGTTCGGCAGCTTAGAACCCACCACCCACGTCTCCTCCTCCTCCTCGCCACCTGTAACCCTCTCCACCTCTTCTCAAGATGGCGAACACTGCAACCGCAAGATCCACCTGCTAGCAGTCATTCATATGTCTGATTCGATAGAGTCGCATCATTTCTTAGATGACTCAGGCGCCACCCTTCCTCCTCCCTGCCTGTCAGCCCTTCCTCCTCTTCACCTGTCAGCCCTTCCTCCTCTTCGCCTGTCAGCCCTTCCTCCTCTTCGCCTGTCAGCCCTTCCTCCTCTTCGCCTGTCAGCCCTTCCTCCTCTTCGCCTGTCAGCCCTTCCTCCTCTTCGCCTGTCAGCCCTTCCTCCTCTTCGCCTGTCAGCCCTTCCTCCTCTTCGCCTGTCAGCCCTTCCTCCTCTTCGCCTGTCAGCCCTTCCTCCTCTTCGCCTGTCAGCCCTTCCTCCTCTTCGCCTGTCAGCCCTTCCTCCTCTTCGCCTGTCAGCCCTTCCGCCTGTCACCCATCTGCACCACCAGGACACAGTGAAGAACCTGAGGAGCTGAGGTGGCGCACAAGTCTCAGTGAGAAGATTTTATCAATCTCTTGCTCCTTCACCCCACCCCACCCAAACCCACCCATCCACACCACCAGGACGCGGTGAAGGACCTGAGGGAGGCAGCCAAGGAAGCGCGCAAGTCACGAGCGCAGCGCCACTCCATGGGCGGGAGCATCGACTCTGGTGCCCCCTCTGACAGACCCGGGACTGCTGAGGATGCTGCCGGTAGCGGTGGCGGTGGTGCTGGTGGTGCTGGTGAGGGGAGTGGGATCAGCAGCAGCGGCATTCCGCTCAGTGGCAGCGGGCGGCGTAAGATTATTCGGTCTAAGAGTGACAAGGAGCTGAATGCGAGAGACAGCGAGGGGCAGGGGGAGGGTGGGGCAGGGGGAGGGGGCGGCAAGGACGGGGCGAGGAGGCAGAGGTGGAAGAGTGGGCAGGGCATGGACGAGGAGGGGAGCCGTGAGTTTATCAGCATGCAGGGGGAGGGGGGCGTGTGGGATGTTTCAGACGAGGAAGACGGGCTGGGGAGAGTGAAGGGGGGGAGACGGGGAGCAGGGCGGGAGAGAGAGGAGGAGGAGGAGAGCAGTGGAGAGATAGGTCCGGGAGAGGCTCGGCAGCAGCCGAAGCTGGGGCAGTCGAGCAGCACTGGTGGAGCAGGTGTGGGTGCAGGGGGAGGGAGTGGGGCGAGCAGTGGGCGGTCGATGAGTGCGAGTCTGCCGTCGCCCCCTCGGTCCCACCGGGGGTCGCGCTCCCAGCAACAGTCTCCGGAGGGAGCGCATGGGAGGTTGAGTTTTGAGGCGCCTCAGAAGGTCTCGCGCTCGCAGCAGCAGTCACCGGAAGGAGCACACGGGAGGGCGAGTGGGGGGAGGTCTGGTGCAGAGAACTTTCTGGTTGGGTCTTCAGGGGAGGAGGGCGGGGCGGATCAAGAGGATGAGAGAAATGGCACGCCTGCTGGGAGGAAGGTGAGGCGGAGGTCGCAAGATGGAGACGGGACGGATCGAATGGGGGGAACCGGGGCGGAGGGAGGAGGAGCGGGGAAGAAGGGGGCGGGGAAGAAGAAGGAGCAGCGGCGCAGCGACCCTCTGTCAGCCCCTACGGGCAAGTCAGCAAAGGGCGCTGGGAAGAAGCGAGGCTCACAGCAGCAGCAGCAGGCACAGCAGGACGACGAGAACAACAGCAACAACGACAACAGCGGCAACATTGGCAACATGGATCCAAGCAGCAGCAGCCGTCTCGCGCCGCGCACGCCCCCACAGCCCATCCCACGCCCCCTCTCCACATTCATCGAGACAGAGGAGGAGCGATCTCTCTCCTCCCTTGCAGCCATGTTCTCGCCACTGGCGGGTTCCCCCCAGGTGGCGGGCGGGAGCAGGAGCCTGGCGGGCGTGCTGCGGGAGAGGCTTGTGAGAGGGATGCATCGGGTGGCTGTGAAGGCGGAGCGCGAGGGGAGCGACCCGTTCGCGGGGGTCGAGGGGCTGGATGCGGTTGGGAACGGTGCGGAGAGGGGAGAGGAGGAGGGTGGGGCTGTGGGTGTTGTTGGTGGAGTTGGGGTGATTGGGGGGTTTGATTCTGCGGTCTCTGGAGTGGCAGTGGGTGGAGGGGCAGCAGGTGGAGGGGCGGAGCGCAAATCGAGCCTGTGGCCAGAGTTGCTCAACCAGAAGGTATGCTGCTGTGATGCCATCTACCCTCATATTTCGCCAGGCATCAGAGGCAGCGAGGCTGTTGAGCCAGCGTGAAGCCACTCCTGCTGGAAGGGCATTGCTTAAGAGTTCTCCGTTCTCCCTCCTTTCCCCTTCTCTGTCTCCTTTTCTTCCCCCTGTTGCCAGGTATCAGAGGCAGCGGGGCTGCTGAGCCAGCTGAAGCCGTCGCAGGGCGAGGAGGCGATAGAAGCGGCAAGCAGCAGGCTGGCAGGGCTGGTGGGGGAGTACCCCGAGGTCAAAGGGGAGCTTGTGGCCTTCTATGCCGTGTTGCCACTGCTCGATGTGTTCGATGCTGACAGCCCCCGGGTGAGTGGAGTTGGTGGGTGGGCGGGGGGGGGACCATGTGAGGGGGTAGGCTGGCAGGGCTGGTGGGGGAGTACCCCGAGGTCAAAGGGGAGCTTGTGGCCTCCTATGCTGTGCTGCTGCTGCTCGATGTCTTCGATTCTGACAGCCCCCGGGTGAGTGGAATGTGGGTGTGTGTGGGCATGTGAGGGGAGTGTGGGCATGTGAGTGGAGTGAGTGTGGGCATGTGAGTGAGGAGGGTGGGTGCGGACATGTGGGGTGGGGGGCAGGGTGGTTGGGGACGGGTTTTTCTGGTCGGCTTGGGCGATTTTCTAGTCGACTCAAGAATCATGGGTTTCTCTGCCAGACGACTTTTGAGACGTCTCAAAAGAATCATGGGTTTCTCTGCCAAATAGTACTGGCTGTGCTGGGGACTGCTGCAGCATCACTGACCGACGACTTTTGAATTGACTCAAATGACATGTTGTTTTGGCCCACCCACCACACCCCTCCCTTCCCTCACTGCAGATAGTGCTGGCAGTGCTGGGCCTGCTGCAGCAGCTCAGCACCGACAGCCCTTTGAGACGTCTCAAAAGACATGCTTTCCTGCCTGCCCCACCCTTCCCTCCCCTCCCTGGTTGCTGCAGATAGTGCTGGCAGTGCTGGGCCTGCTGCAGCAGCTCATCACCGACAGCCCTGCTATCCAAAGCCTTCTCTGCAATGCCGGACTTGTGAGTAACCTATCCCTGTGCTTTGCTGCAACATGCATACTCATGTCATGTGGTGTCAATCCCCTTCTGCTTAAAAACTTGTATCCGAGCCTGTTTTTGGGTTTTCAAGTGTAAGCATGTGTTGGGTTGTTATGTTCATATGTACACATGTGGTGGTGTGAGTCCCTCTGCGTAAGGAAATGTTGCCCCCTTACTTCCCTCCATCACTCCCGCCTCCTTTCCTGAGTTCCCCTGTTCCCCCCTTCCCCTCCTTCTCTCTTCACTCCTTCCCTCCCCTCCCTTCCCTCTCCCCTTCCCTCTCCCCCTCCCCTCCCTTCTCCCTCCCATCACAGGTGCCCACGCTGCTGAACTTCTCCTCGCCCGGTCGCTGCTCGCCTGACATGCGCCATCAGGCGGGCTGTGTGTTGCGCCACCTCTGTTACTCCAGGTACGGGCGTAAATGTTTTTCTTAAGGCGCCTTAAACATTGTGCTGCGCCACCTCTGCCACTCCAGGTACAGGCGTAAATGTTTTTCTTAAGGCGCCTTAAACATTGTGCTGCGCCACCTCTGCCACTCCAGGTACGGGCGTAAATGTTTTTCTTAAGGCGCCTTAAACATTGTGCTGCGCCACCTCTGCCACTCCAGGTACGGGCGTAAATGCTTTTCTTAAGGCGCCTTAAACATTGTGTTGCGCCACCTCTGCCACTCCAGGTACGGGCGTAAATGCTTTTCTTAAGGCGCCTTAAACATTGTGCTGCGCTGCCTCTGCCACTCCAGGTATGTGCCAGTCGCTCGCCCACCCGGCCACCTGTGCCGCTTGCGTTGAGTCACTCGTCTGTGCACTGCATCAATCTCTTCTCCTGCATCGTCTGTCTCCCCGCCCCCTTCTATTCTCCCCCTTCTATTCTCCCCCCTTGGACCAGTCCGGATGCGGTGAGAGCGCTCCTTGCATGTCGGGGCCTGCCCACGCTCATGGCGTTTCTCGAGACCGACTACTGCAACAACCGGTGGGTTCCGGTTCTGGGCGGCTTTTGGACGGGTTCTACCCTGGTTCTGCGCTGCTCTGCTCTGCTCTCTAAGCTGCGCCTGAGTCCTTGAGTTGAGTTGTCTCTACAGTCTGTCTTCCCAAGCGCATGGCATGTCTTGTAACAGACTAATGCAACAACCAGTGGATTTTGCTCTGCTCCGCTTAGTTGCTGGTGCTCGTGCTGTCGCAGATGCTGGTGGCGGTGGTGAGGGTCACGCTAAAAGCCTTTCTCTCTCTACCTCCCTCTCGTTGCCGCTCCCTGCCTGCCCCACCCTCCCTTTCCAGGGCGTTCGTGCACATAGGGCTGGACTGTCTGCTGGCAGTGCTGGCAGCAGGGCGCCCCACCCCGCGCACCGACATCGCCAGGCAGCTGGCACGCATGGGCATGCTGCACCGCCTGCTCTCCCTCCTGCACTCCGTCTCCTCCGCCCGCAACCACCCCACTTCAGCCTCTTCTGCTGGTGCTGGTGCTGGTGCTGGTGAGGGTGGGGGTGAGGGTGCGGGAAGGAGCAGCTGGGATGGCGGTGCGACTGGCTCTGGTGCTGGTTCGGCCTACGGGTTAGGGGACGCCTATGGCTCTGGCAACACAGGGGGAGCAGGAGTAGGAACAGGAGGAGGAGGGGCAGCATCAGCTGCTGCTTCCCCTGCAACATCCTCCTCCGCGGCTTCTGCTGCTGCTCCTGCCGCTGCCACTCCTGCTCGGCGCTCCCAGCGTCGCATCTTTGGCCTAGCGCAGTTCCGAAGCAAAGCAGCCAAGGCTGGGCAGGGGGGGGGAGACTCGCAGGCACAGGGAGGGGCAACATCGTCATCATCAGCAGCAGCAGCAGGGGGAGCGGGAGGAGGATCAGGCGGAGGAGTGGCAGGCGGTTCTGGCGGCTCTTCCAGTGGTGGAAATGGAGCGGGTACAGGTTCAGGTGGGTATGGGACCAGTGCTGCTGTTGGTGGTGCTGCTGGTGATCGTGGTGGAAGCAGTGGTTTTTCCTCCTCCTCCTACTCCTCCTCCTCAGCAACAGGAACAGCAGCAGCTGTGAAGCAGCAGCAGCTAGATCCAGCAGCGCTAGCAGCACAGGACACGCTCTACCTCACCCGCACGGCCCTCCTCCTACTCCACCTCTGCCAGGCAGACGAGGCAGTGCGCGCACACATGCTCGCCCCATCCTTCCTTAAACGCCTGCTCGACGCCCGCGAATCCCTCCCCCCGCCCGTGCTGCTGCTGCTGCTGCGCGTGCTCCGCCAGCTGTCGGCTGACGCCGCCTCGCATGATTCATTACAGAGGGCCGATGCTGTCGGTGCTCTCGTGCCGTACATTGATGCGGGGTTCAGGGAACGGTTCGAGGTGGGGGAGAAGGGGGAGAGCCGGACAGGAGGTGGTGGGGGAGCGGTGGCGTATCCGGCCTCGCTGTTCTGCGACATTCAGGCAGAGGTGAGAGATGGGAGATTCGGGCAGAGGTGAGAGATGGGAGATTCGGGCAGAGGTGAAAAATGGGAGATTCGGGCAGAGGTGAGAGATGGGAGATTCGGGCAGAGGTGAGAGATGGGAGATTCGGGCAGAGGTGAAAAATGGGAGATTCGGGCAGAGGTGAAAAATGGGAGGTTCGGGCAGAGGTGAAAAATGGGAGATTCGGGCAGAGGTGAAAAATGGGAGATTCGGGCAGACCTCGGTGAAACCTTGAGTCCTTGAGCTGTCATGTTTTGTCCTGGGAATGGCTTCAGGAAGGCTTGTGAGGTGCCTCAAAAACCCTCTGGCCCAACAGCGCTTTTCCCCCCAAGCGCTGATGGCGCTGTACGACCTCAGCAGGGGCAACAAGTGCTTCCTGGATTGATCTTCAGCAATACACACCCCCGCCCTCCTCCCCCTTTGCTTTGCCCCCCCTCCCCCCCGCCACCACCACCAGGCGCTGATGGCGCTGTACAATCTGTGCAGGGGCAGCAAGCGCAGGCAGGAGCTGGCAGCGGAAGCTTCCATCGTGCCGCCCCTCATGGCTCTCATCTCCTCGCGCTCGCCTCTTCTCCCCTTCGCCCTGCCGCTGCTCTGCCTGCTCGCCACGGCCTCGCACGCTGCCTGCGACACTCTGCTCCACCACAACGCGATGCCGCTGCTGCTCTCCCTCCTCGCCGCCCCCCTCACGCCCCACGCCGCCATTGCTGCCCGCCTCGCGGACAGCAGGAAGGACGGCGCCGGGGGAAAAGGGGCAGGCGGAGGGGGGGGTGTTGCTGGAGGTGCAGCGGGAGCAGGGGCGCCAGGGGGGGCAGGGGGGACAGGGGGGGTGGGGAGTGGGGAAGGGGCGGAGAGGATGTGGGGGGCGGCGGCGTTTGAGGCGGTGGTGGCGTGTGTGGTGAACGATGGGGAGGGGCGGCACGTGGAGCAGACGTTGCTGCGCCGGGATTCCCTGGAAGCACTTGTGTGGTTCGTGCGCGGGGCCGCCAAGACTCCATCTTTTACAGCACTCTTTGAGCCTCTGCTGCGCCTCGTCACGTGAGTGGGCCCTGCTCCCTGCCCTGCCCTCTCCTTGAAACACGTCTTCCCTTTGCCCTCTCCATGCACCCACCCTAATTTGAAATCCCCCACTTACCCCTCCTCTTTCTTTGGAGTGACTTTTGAGAATTCTCAAAAGCCACTTACCCCTCCTCTTTCTTTCTCGGGCCCCATTCACCCGTCACAACAGCAAGGCCCCAACACTGAATGCAGCGCTGTCAGTGGGAGGGCTAAGCGCCCTCACCCTTTTTTTTTTTTTTTTTTCCACTTTCCCATTCCTGCATTCACCAACCACAACAGCAAGTTGCCAACACTGAATGCAGCGCTGTCTGAGGGAGGGTTGGGCGACCTGCTCGTGGCTCGGCTGTTAGTCCCTTTTACTTCCCCAGTAGCACCCACCCTTTATGTTTTCCCCCTTTCCCACCCGACCCCATCCACTTCCCACAACAGCAAGTCGCCGACACTAAATGCAGCGCTGTCAGTGGGAGGCCTGGGCGACCTGCTCGTGGCTCGCCTGGACGACCCTCAGCTGGAGCCCGCCATGCGGCTGAACCTGCTCAAGCTGCTCAAGGTGAGGTGCTGGTGTGTGTGGTCAGACTTAGCATGGGTATGGAGGGGTATATGTAGGTGCCCTGTGTCTTCATGGCCTGTGGATGGAAGGAAGAACTGGACGACCCTCAGCTTGGTCCCACAGTGCTCCTCAGCCTTCCCAAGTTGCTCAATGTGAAATCGTGATACATACAAGGTGGCTTGAGTTGTGGTGTTGAGCTGACGGTGTATACTCGGTGGCTCTTGCTCAAGGTGCCCCTTGGTACCGCAAGGGGCTGTGTGTGCCTCGTCAGTGCACCCAAGGGCAACTGTCACCATTGTCCCCCATCCTCTCTCTTCCCGCCCCCCTACCAATCCATACGCCAGGCAGTGGTGAACGAGCAGCACCCGCACCCCGAGGGGCCGTGTGTGCGATTGCAGATAGGCAACGCTGTCAATTCACTCAATCTCAACATCACTGTTCCTCTCCCTCCACCCCCTTTCCCCTCCACCCTCCCCTTCTCCCAGGCGGTATACGAGCAACACCCGTACCCCAAGGGGCTGTGTGTGCCGGAGGAGTTGCCAGGAAAGCTGCAGCGGTTAACAGAGGAGCGGCGCATCGCAGGTGGGCAGCAGGTGCTGGTGCGACAGATGGCCTCGGCTCTGCTCAAAGGGCTGCACTTCGGCCCGCCCAGATAGACCCGAACCACCAGGCTGGGGGAGAGGGGGAAACGGGGGAGAGGGGGACCTGCATCGCCGGCGGGCAGCAGGTGCTGGTGAGACAGATGGCTTCGGCGCTGCTCAAAGGGCTGCACTTCGGCCCGCCTAGATGAACCCGAACCACAGGGAGATAGAGGAAGCTGGGGGGAAGGGGAAGCTGCAGCGACTGACAGAGGAGGGGCGCATCGCCGGCGGGCAGCAGGTGCTGGTGTGACAGATGGCCTCGGCACTGCAAACTGCTCTTTGGCTCGCCCATGTAAACGGCTGTGGGGGAGGGGAAGCTGTGGCGCAGTGGAAGCTGTGCGGAGTTGAGTGGTAGGAAGGGCAGCAGCAGCACCCCACTCTGCCAAGCAGCGGCAGCAACGCGTCATGGCTTATCTGTAAAGCGAAGCTGCGGTCATTCTTGGTATATTTATGGCGCTCTGCAATTCGCGGGCAGCTGCAATGGTGGTGGAACAGTCATCGCAAGTTTTTAAGGAGTTATTGTTGTTGGCACCTGCAAAAGAACCCGTTTAGAAGCCAATAGTGCACGAGTGGATTGGTTGCCAGGTGGAGTGCAACAAACTGGATCGTCCACATCATACCTAGTACCGTAGTACACCATTCTCAACCAAATCCAAGCAGAAGTCATGATTTTGAATTGTACTCTAATTTCATGCATTTCTTGCAGGTTGAGGATAAATGCTGCTCCATGTATTTCAGAAGCTTCATTGAAACTCTCTGCTATTACAGTACCTGTGCGTGCACTACCTAAACAGCAACAGCACAGACATCAAGATGGAACCAAGTTGATTTGAGCAGCCTTGCCCTTCACATACCCCTGTCTGCTGCCCTTGCACCTCCTCTCTCTCCCACAGAACCTACATGCACTAGTCACCCTGTTCCTGTGCACAGCCCCACTCACCGCCTCCCCTCGCCCTCCTGCCTCCCCTTGCTTCCCCTCTGCTCTCTGCACTCCCTCCTGCGCCACCCGTCTCCTCTTCTCCTGCTCCTCTCCTCCCTTCATCACTTGTCCTCGGCCTCTCGCCTTCCTTCGCCTCTTTCTGCCCCCCTTCCTTCTCTCTCCTGTTTCTTTTCTAGCCGATCCACCTGCTGTAGCAACTCCACCAGCGGCTGTTGCGGCAGCCGTAGCAGCAACTGAAGCAGCAGCAGCAGCAGTAGCAGCAGCTGCATCAGTGGAAGCACCTTCACCTGCCACTTGGTTGCATGTGGCGCTTCTCCGGGTCGCTCCAGACAGTACAAGGGGGGCGGCGGCGGCAGCATCTGCGCCATCTGCGCCATCTGCGCCATCTGCGCCATCTGCGCCTGCACAGGAAGCATCTACGGCGGATCCACTGGCATTCCCACAGGTAACCACAACTGGGGAAGCTACCAGCCTGGTAGTTTTGCCGCTGCTCCCCGTCTTGGTGCTTTGTGACGACTTTGACTTCTTTGCCCTCCGCTTTTGGTTTCCTATGCGCGGGTAGGAGGCGATTGTGAGGGTGCACGTGGAAGGCAGGATCTGGGGGAGGCCGCAGCTGATGCGGGCCAGGGTAAGGAAGGAAGGAAGCAGACAAAGGGAGGTGATTTGGGGGAGGCCGCAGCTGATGCAAGGGGTTTTGGCCATGGGGAGGGGAAAAAAATCGGCAGAGAAGAGGGAGAACAGCACTCACCCCGCGCACAGCACACTCCCATCGACCGCCATCGCCTTGGAAACAGACTGCCCACTACCACCGCCGCCCGCGCTGCCGGCGCCAACCCCTCCTCTTCCCGCTTCCGCCTGCCCTTGCTGTCGCTGCTGCAGCAGCGCCGGCGCTGGCGTCAGCAGCTGCACGCACCGCCCGAGGTGGGCGGCAACGGGCGGCGAACTGACGGCGAGCGACTCGGCGGCTCGGCGGAGAAACTCGCGGCGGAGGTCGAGCGGGGTGGCGGAAGGGGCGTGAGGGGAGCTGGCGGAAGCGGTGTGCGAGGAGGTGGCGGCCGAACGAGCGCACGGCAGGCTCATCGCGGATACAGCCTGTAAACCCGCTGGCGAGATAGGCTGCTGTGAGGTACACAGAATTTTCTGTAACAGTATTGGCGAAATTAATGTACTTCAGCGAAAGTGATCGGGTGGGTCTCCCTCGGGTCGAGGAAACTGGTGAGGGGGAACCTCAGTTACCAAAATCGGCATCTTTGATTCGTCACACGGTTGCTGGGATTTGAGTTACCCGTCGCAAGCTCTCTCGCTGGTACTCCCAACACACAGAAACACAGGCCAGTGTCAGGAGAGTTCCTCCTCAACTACGGTAAACTTCGGTAATCAACGTTCGAGACTGGCTTGTTTGTTATTTTTCGCTGTCAGGTTGGCGCGCAGCTCTCTTTCTCGCGTTCACGCCTTCGTCCATTCCTAGCTCCTCCATGCATTTCCAGAAGCATGCAGATGCAATAAGGACTCCAATGTCGGTTGAATCGCCGCTGTCCCATCTATCATCGACTCCCCTATGTCGGATCCTGCGACTCGCGTCGTCGGACCGGCATGCACGACGGCTGACTGGCTGATGCCGCTCGCGACGCTGCGGCGGCTGCAGCCGCAGTGGGTCGAGAATGCGTTACGAAACCACGGAATTCCTTTGCGACGCGCGCCGATGCGTCGCAGGCGGGTCCCAGCGTGCACGAGATAGCGTCGCAGCGTGCAGCAGCAAATTCGTCGCAGATGTTCTAGTCTCGAGCCAATCCCTGCGCTCAGTCAGCCAATCCCTTCATCTCAGGGCTCAGTCACGGCGTGGCAGACTTTCATAAGCTCAGCCGTCGTGCTGTGGCAGCAGCGTCATCGCAACCTCATGTCGCCGCTCGCTCTCACGGCATAGATTCACGCCGCTCGATAGATGGCCTTAATTTTCCGTTCCGACACTGGCGGGGGTGTGCGGAATACGCAGTGCTACCAGAGCCAGAATTGGCAGTGCCAGCAGTGGCTGGAGCAGGTTCTAAGCTGGTACGGTTGGCACGGATGGAAGGCTTTTGAGAAGGTGCTGCTACGAGCGAGAATCCCAATTTGATCATTCAGATTTCAGAATTTGACGTTCCCAGGGATGGGGAGCCTGGGAACGGGAACGGCCCGAGCAAGCGCGAGACCGGAATCGATTCCTTTAACCGACGTCGCTGGTGGCAACAGTAACGACGGTGTTGCTGCTGCTGCTGCTGCTCTAGCGATGGACGTCGATCCACGTGGCGCGCTTTCGAGCGTCCACGTGGAGTGCGGGCTGTGCGCCGTTCTCACTCCCCTCGCGCACTGCCTCGACCTCCCCCACTGCGCCTGCCTGCTCTGCCTCCCCTGCGCGCGCGGCTCCTTCCGCCCCCAGCTGGAGCATCTGAAAGCGCAGCTGGTTAGTGGAGATCACCCCCATCCCCGCTCCTCTAATTCTCCTGAAACTTCCCCTGGGGATTCTCCTAGGATTTCTCATGGAGAAGATTTCATGGCCTGCCCGTGCTGCGTGCAGCCAGTTCCAGCTCTCCACGTGCAGACCCTCCTGCCCGAAGAATTCTGGCAGTGGGAGGAAGCGGCGACTTCAATTGCCCTTGCTAGTTTCTCCGGGGCAGATGATTTCGTTATCTGCCCGGGATGCCACGTCCTTGTGGAAAAACTGCCCGCAAAGGCTGCAGATCCAGAAGCTGCAGAAGCAGCAGCTGTAGCCGCAGCAGCAGACGCAGCATCAGCAGTAGCAGAGGCAGAGGCAGCGGAGGCAGCATCAGAATCAGCAGCACAAGAAGCAGCAGACGCAGCAGCAGCATCAGCAGCAGAAGCAGCAGAAGCATCAGCAGATGCGGCAGACGCTGCAGAAGCAGCAGCCGCGGCGGATACAGCAGAGGCAGCAGAGGCAGCAGCAGCAGCAAAGGCAGCAGCAGAAGCAGCACAAGCAGCAGCAGCGGTACAAGCCGCAGAGGCCGCCGAAGCAGCAGCAGCAGCGGAGACAGCAAAAACACGGGCAGCAGAAGCAGCGGAAAAAGCGGCAACAGCAGAATCAGCAGCAAAGGCAGCAGCAGCTGCAGCAGCCGCAGCGAAAGCAGAAGAAAGAGACGAGGAAGGCCGGCCGCTAACCCCAGAAATGGTACTCCATAAACTGTACAACAGATACCGGTGCGGAGAATGCGGTGTAGTCTTTTGTGGGTCGTGCCGCGAGCACCCGTATCACCTCGGGATCTCCTGTGCAGCGCATGCCTAGTGCCTTGCTGCCCCCAAGTGCCGCTTCTGTGGTGAGCGGGTCGAGTGGGTCGGGATGGACTTGGACTGGAATGAGCAGGTTGGAGAGGCTGAGGAGGGGGGTGATGGTGATGAAGGGAGGAAGAAGGATGGAGAGGAAGCGGCTAAGCGGCTTGCAGAGTTGGTCGCATTCTCTGGCAGCACGATTGCAAGCAGCAGCGGTGGCAGCAACAACAGCGGCGGCACCACTAGCAGCAGTGCTGGCAATGGCAGCAGCAGCAGCAGCAGTGGAGACACGAGCAATTGGAAATGGAGTGAGGGAGAGATGCGGGATCTTCTTACAGCAGTAGGAGCAGACGTGAGCTGGTGCGTCAGCAAAGCCGACCTGGCAGCAGTGGCAGCGGCGGCAGTGTGTGTGTGCGGGGAGGAGCAGTGCAGAGAGCGACTGAGGGACGTGTGCACGCGGGTTGGTCCATGTGGGCACACATGTGGGGGGGTGAGAGGAGAGGTGGACTGCCTACCATGCCTGCGTGATGCCTGTGTGGAGGAGAGAGATGCTGCTGCTGCTGCTGCTGCTGCTGCAACTGGTGCTGGTGCTTCTGGTGGTGATGCTGTCACAGGTTCTGCTGCTTCTGCTTCTGCCGCTCCTCGCCCACTGTCGCCCCTTGCATCCGCCAGCGACGTTTGTCCCATCTGCTGGGTGGAGCCAATCGCTGCCGCCCCAGCCATCCGGCTGTCATCCTGCGGCCACGTGGTGCATGCAACGTGCGCGAGGGAGAAGATTCGCCAATCATATCCTGGCCCCGAGATCTCCTTTGGA